ATTGGTTTACTCTGCTAATTATTATTATTTTCTTTTTCCAATGAAGCATTGACGGTAAGATTCATCACCAGGCGATTTATTGGTGATTATGACCCTACTTTAGGTAAGTTCAGTTACTTGCTCTGTCAAATCAGTGAGTTGGTTTGTATTTTTAGGTGATCAGTGACAATTGCTGTTAACATTGGATCTCAGATCAAAAAATATTTGGGGAAGAAGATGGAGCCCTAGTTCAGAGGTACAGGTAGTCCTTGCTTAATGACCACACATTTAGTGACCATCCGAAGTTATGATGGCACTAAAGTAATGTATGACCAGTCCTCACACTTATGACCATTGTAGCGCCCCTGCGGTCATGTGATCATGATCTGGGCAGTTGGCAACCAGCTTGTACTTACAATGGTTGCAGGGTCCTGGGGTCACATGATTGCCATTTGCCACCTTCCCAGCCAGCTTCTGACAAGCAAAATCAATGGAGAACCACATGGTTCATTTAACAACCACATGATTCACTTGACCACGGTGATTCGCTTAACCACTGACACAAAGGATGTCATAAAATCAGGTGTGGTCACATGATGTTTTGCTTAACAACCACTCTGCTTAACAACAAATTTTCCAGTCCCTATTGGGGTCATTAAGCAAGGACTATCTGGAAAAAAAAAAAAAATCTTATCCTTTACATCACTAAATAGATCTGGAAAAGCCTGCTGTCTAACAAAGAGCTATTGGCTCCCAATCAATTTCAGTCATACTGAGCTAGATAGACTCATTATATAAAATTTTTAGTTTAAAGATGAAATAAATGTGTTTAATTAGGATTGGGTTTTTAATGTAAAAATGGATTCTCTGACAGATGTTATAGCAAAGATGATGCTGTTTGTTACTACTTCTTGCTCTTCGGTTAAAAGTACCCAGGGTGGTGTACAGCTTAATGGAAAAACCTAGAAATATCAAACATTAAAGCAGCAGTACTGTAAAACTACTTGATATACTTTAGAAATCCCATTAAAGCAAGAAACGTGTTTGGCAAGGAAAGATGCAGAGACAGAATCAGACAAATTTCAACTAGGAGAGCATTGCAGATTTGTCACCCCACCATAGAATATAGCAGAATAATCAAACTATGCGTATAAGTGCTAACTAGTCAGATCAAATGGTCAGCGATGATCATTAGCTCTGCTGCCATCTTGCCTTCATTGGTCAAGTTCACATAACTTAGAACAGCCTTCTGCAAACGTGGTGCCCTTCAGAGAGGTCAAAAGACAACTCTCCATTGACCTTTTGCCTGAGACTAATGAGAGCAGGAATCCAGCTCATTTGAAAGGCACCAAGTTGGAGGAGGCTGCTATAGAAAGTGCATATTCATAGGTCCAGTGAGTTGAAGTTCAGGTGAATTGCATTCCCGTAATATAAGACAAACCTAGCTGGATCAGGTGAGACTCTATTTTAGTCCACCGTTTTGTTTCACTGAGTGGCCAACCAGGGTGCTCACAAGTGGAGACATACCCCTCTCCTCCTGTCATTGTTCCTCTGCCAGTAGCATTTGGAGACCTGCTTCCCCAAAGACAACACTGAATCTTCAAGATTGAGAGTCCTTAATAGACCTGTCCTCCATGAATTTTAATTATGCACTGTGGAATTTGTCCATTTTCTCCGTACCTATAAAATTTTATACACCTTAAACATGTTTCCTCTCAGTGGTTTCTTTTTCCCCATACTGTACAGTCCCAAATGTTCTAGCCATTTCTTTTAAGGGAGGTTTTGAGCTACCTGATCATTTTGGTTGCCCTCTTCTGCATTTTTCGCATCCTACTCTATTTTTCAAATGTTGCAACAAGAACTGTACCCAGTATTTCAAATGTGGACATATCATAGATTTGTTATAAAACCATTATATTGTTGGCAGTTTTATATTCAGTCCTTTTCCTAATGATCCCTAGCCTGGAACGTGCCTTCTTCACAGCTGCCACACATTGAGTCAACATCTTAATTGAACCATCTGCTATGACCCCCCATCTTTAGTAATAATAATAATCCCAGACTTAACAGTTGTTGATAAGAAAGACAAAAAAGTCTAAATAGTGGACATTGCAATACCTGAAGACAACAGAATAGAAGAACTGGAGAAAATCACAAAATAAAGACCTGCAAATAGAAGTAGAATGACTGTGGCAAAAGAAAGCAAAGATAGTACAATAGTAATAGGCTCTTTGGGTGCAATCCCAAAACATTTGGAGCACCACTTGAACACCATCAGCGTTGACAAAATCACCATCAGTCAATTGCAAAAGGCACCTTTACTTGGAATAGCTTACATCCCACGACAATACCTTTAGCACCATCAAACATCATCTGCCTATCCCAGGTCCTTGGGAAGGACTCGATAGGTAGATAAAAATGCCAAATCCAATCTAAACATCTGGCTGACTGTGCAACCAACAATAATAATATAAATGTATGACTCCCTGACTTCCAACTACCCTTTTTCCTGTATAGTTACAGCTTAGACCCCAATGTGCTTCACTTAATGTTTATTTGAACTTCTTCATTTGCTGTTTTGGTTGACCATCCAGTTGAAGAGATCTTTCTGGAGCTCTTCACACTTACTTTTAGTTTTCACTACTCTGAATCACCTGAAAACCTGGCCAGCTCACTACTTATTCTAAGTCAGGGATCATTTATGGACTGTTGAAAAACATTAGTCCCAATACAGATCCTTGAAAGACTCCACTCTTGCTTCCCTCCACTAAGAAAGTTGCCCATGTATTCACATCTTTTGCTTTCTGTTTTTTAACCAGCTGTGATCCATGAAAGGATAGGTCCTCTTATTCCACAACAGCTAACCTAACTCAGGAATCTTTGATGAATAACTTTGTCAAAGACTTCTTTGAAAATTCAAATATATAACATAAACAGGGTCACCTCCATTCATTTGTCTGGTAACATTCTCATTCTGTAATTTACTGGATCTCTGCTTGGTTCTTTTTAAAAAATGGGTGTCACATTGGCTACCTTCCAGCCCTCTGACACTAACCCTGATTAGAGAGGCAAGTTACATATTGTTGCTATGAGGTCAGCAATTTCAAATGTGAGTTCTTAAAAGAAAACAACTATTTTGGAGATGCCATCAGGACCTAATGATTCATTACAGTGTTGCCTTGCAAGATATCCTAGAATTTTCTCAATTTTCTTTGATGGTTGCAATTTCTTCCCTGAAAAAGTCAGTATAAACTCAGGTATCTGTCTACATCTTCTGTAGTAAAGGGCGATGCAAGGAATATAATGCTGTAGGATTTTATCTCTAATTTTGTACATTTAGGCCATGATGATCATGCTTCATTTAGCCTTAGGCTAGCAGTCTTCTGCCTACCTAAGATGTTTTTTTCATCCTTGCAGTCCATTTGAAAGTAATTCATAGAAAATTAGACTAATATTCATTGTGCCCTACTTTTTCCTCATGTTTACTTCCTTGCTTTGTTATAACTATGAAAGCATTCCTCAGAAAAGTAAGAGCTGCTCTTTGGATAACTATGTTGAATATTGGTTTGCCCCTGTAAAAGTTTAGATATTTCAGATATAGCAGCAAAGAAGCTTGCTGTGAAAAGAAAACTGGAACAATTTCAGGGACTTCAGGGAGGTGCTTTAATTAGCAATTATGTTTGGGATAGTAGATCCCCCATAGGGAACTGCTGTATGGAAGTAGCAAGGAAAAATCCATGGTTGGCACTGCTACATTTTGAGATGATCTTCATAGACATCTTTAGAGAAAGGTGTGAGAGCAACATTTTGTGAACTGTAAATTCCACAGGCTTCCTGGAGAATTACTGAAAACGTTTCCATTGGTTTTTGAAAGAAATTTCCCTGCCTCAGGGGAAACAAAACCCTAAAATTACTATTTTTTTCTTTTTAGCTTTTCTAGTTTTTAGGATATAATCCCTGAGTGGTGAGCCCTGCTGAATACAAAGAGATAGAGACGTATTTGCAAATAAACCTTCATCAGATATTTTTTAGCACACCACAGATTTAATTATTTAGAGGGTGCCATGGGTGGGAAGGAAAGGAATCTGAAATCTCTCCCCATTTTTTTTTAGCAGTAATGAATAATTATGAAGTAAAGAATACAGCCAACGGGAGATATTATGCTTAGGCAGAATATGGAAGCTCCCCTCCTTTATCCACACTCTTAAGTACAGTACCAGCCTCTTTGTCTGGAGAAAGAGAAGAATGCCTTTAGGGCCCAAATGAATGACTAAGACTTGTAGTGGCCTGGTCATGTGGAATTCAGAAGGCAGAGATGGGAATTCAATAAAGAACAAAGTGATTGGGAAGAAAGATGGCTTCCAGGCATCTTTTTTTTTTGAAAGTAGGTAAACTTTCTGCCTTTCTCCTGCTGAGTTCTGACAGGGCCTCATTTTATAGCACAATTGACATGCTTTCATTTTAAGCCTATGGCAAACATTTCTGATGCCTTCACAGATTCCCCATGCCAAATGCAGAATTGCATCATTGAAGCAAAAGAACAGCTGAATTGCTTACCAAGTTTCTACAGTCACATCTCTACCCATCATCACTGCTGTGCACCGTGATGGTGGGATGAAGGCTGTATTAAGTAGAACTGGTGCCCCATCCTCACCGCACACACTTCTCTGTCTCCTTTACCTCCTCCATCTTCTGCATTTCCATCCTCAATATGGGTCCTCCTTTTGCTTTTCTCTCCTTATGAGTACCAGAAGGACTTATGTGGATTTTGTTGCTCTCATGTCTTCATATCAGACCACTTGCAGGATGATTTCCCAGATGTTTCTTTATTCAGTCTTCTACTTTTTATGCCCTAAACCTCGTCACTTATGAACAGTGGCCACTCACTCCTTTCTTCTCCCTTTTCCCTTCCACTTAGTTCCTTCAGTTATATCTTAACCCTTATTTCCATAAATATATAAAAATTGTGCTGTGGTTGTGTTTCTCCAGTGCTGTTTTGTGCTTTACATTTTGTGAATTCTCAGGAATTTTTTAGTGCCTAAGCAAAATGTTACCAGTGCCTCCTTCAAGCCACAGATTTCCCATATTATAGGCTTGTCCTGTCATTCAACATAAGAGTATACAATTCTTTTAGACCACAGACAATATGTGATCCTTGAAGGATATGTTAGAAGCCACATTAATAACAACAGCATAGCCAGGACAAAAAATAAATCATATTAAGTTAAAAATGCATCTCAATGAGTTAAATACATTTAATATGATTTTATTCAATATTTAAAATAACTTCGTGGTAACTGTTAGAGGACTTCTGGAGGCCATCTCAGATATTTTAAAGAAAATATAAAGATAGGGGCTCTTATTATGACATTCTGTCTGTGCGACTCTTCCTAAACTCCACTAGTTCAGGTGTATAGATCAACTTGTATCCTGGAGTCATCTTCTGAATGAGACCCTTCATGCAAGGTAGCAAATGGGAGCCAAGGAAAGGGCCTTCTCTGTGGTGGTGCCCTCTCACCTGGTGCATAGTCTTTTTTTGTTTTGGTATCAAAGACCACTTCTTTTTCCAGTAAGCTTTATCATCTGATTATTTGCATTTTTGGAGTTTTGTGTGCTTTAACTATAAATATACTGAGAATTATTGCACCAAAGGGTAGAAATGTCTAGAAATATACAATCCTAAGATATGAAAGGCAAAATTTATAGTTGTATTATATATTAGCCTTCTCCCATTTGGTGCCCTCCAGGTGTGTGTGTGTGACTACAATTCCTATCATGTCTCAGATAACCTAGGAGCAAGGAATTGTTGTTCAACACTTCTGGAGACATTAGACTGTCAAAGGCTGCATGTGGAACAAAAAAAGTTTTATTTTTAAGTTTGCTTAGTTTTAGTTTTTATTTTTAAGTTTGCTTTCTGCTGATATAGAGTTCTCACACATGTTTCTATTCCACAGAGATGATTTACAGGCACACAGCAGTCATAGATGGAGAAATGGTTCATTTTGAAATTCTTGACACAGCAGGGCAGGTATGATTTTGGTGGCTTTATTGTAAAATAAAAAGGGGGGGGGGCGATATTTTAGACCTGAAAAAGTACTGCAGTGGGCACTGAAAATGATCAAGGGGTAGGAGCAATTCCCCTGTAAGAAAAGTTATATCATTTGAACTCTGTGGTAGGGATGTATGGATCAGTCTTTAAAGAGAATAAGAAACGAATATGTGACAAATAAATGAAAAAAAGAGCATACACACGTAAGTGTGGGTTATAGGTTATTTTTCCTACTACGTGGTGTTTTAGATGCAACTCTCCCAAATAGTATGTTGTTTTATTGTTATTAATTGTGCTTTATTAAAATACGTGCAATTTGTATGGAGAGTAACAAATGCTGGTAAACTCCAAGCATTATCACCTCTGCCATGACAGTCTTTATAGATGAGCACATCCATTAACCATAATAGAGAAATGCAAAGCAACATTGATTTCTCACAGGATTTTTCAAGGTGTATAGATTCATTGTATTCTCTCCGTATCGATAATGGTTTTGATCACAGACCTAAGCTTGGCCATGATAAACACATGGAGTAAGCAGATATGAAGGTGACGTGGAAGATGTGGTAAAGCAACAAATCCCAGAATCCCAGGAAATTCAGATCCTCAGGGAAAAGAAGAAATAGGAACATGTGTGTAAGAGCATGTGTAAGGCTGAGTGTAAGGGATTGGAATGGATCTGGCATAAAACTCTTCATGTGACAGAACGAAACAGTACCTTTGCAAAGGTTAGAAGATGGGAAGATTTCAACAGTAATCTGGCTGAAAGATCAGATTGTTTCCAACAGGATGTTTTGGCCAGAATAGCTGGAGAACATCTGTATGTCAAAAGGTTAAAAGGGGAGGTGGAAAAATGAAGGCTACTTCTTATAGAGCTCATACTGCAATTTCCAAATTTGGAATACAGAGAGAGGCAAAATATAACAGGAATTTGTAAACATCAGTGAAGCTTGTTGTGGCTGTGTAGGTCACCTCTCTGCGCATTGATCAATTGGTTGTTCCTTGTTAAGATGCCCCAGAGGCTTTCTGGCACAAGTGCTGAAGTTATTAATTATTACACTTTAGAATGACATTAGCTCTAAAGAACCAAATCGAATTATGCAAGATTAGTTCCTAGGTGGTCATTTTTTAACGCTATGCTGTATTTCAAGGGAACACTCTTTCTTATTCTGAATTAAGCCAGGCCTACCATTTCGGCAGTATAAATACTGTAGTACTTAAAGTAACAGGTCAAATTACAAATCTATGTAATTTGAATTTCAATTTCTGTCTATTCTTAGGTAGCAGGATACTGTTAAGCAGTTAGTATCTTCCAACAGAATTCTACAGTATATACCTAGATTTTTCAGTTTTTTATATCTAGGGGCCCATTTTTTGTTATCTTCTTCTTTTTTTAATGGATACAACACTGGTAGACCACTTTTGCACATGCAAAATAAGTTTTTAAAGGGTCAGACTGACAGACTGTCAGTTTCCTCTCTGATTAGAGTGTTGGCAAGAATGTGGTGAAGGGGAAAGAAAACAATTATTTGGATATTTTCCAAATATTGTGGGCATGTTTGTTTGTTTGTTTGATAAAGACTGGTCCACAGACTACATTTTGGAAATGCTACAATTTACTAATAATCAAACTCATTTTCCAAATGTTAGTCTTTAGGTAACCAAAGGGCATTATGCAAATACCAAAAGAAGGTGATGTTACATTTTGGTAATTTGTATATAATGTGCTTATAATCAGAGGAAGTTCTGGGTGAGATGGTAGTGTGTAAACTTGCCCTGTTGTTTTCAGGTCATCCACTTTATTTGGAGCCTCCTCTAATGCTGCCATGAGGAATCATTAGGCTAGGGGAAATTGCAAAGTCTTGGAGAACTACTCAGAAAAAATGTTTTAAAAATTCTAAGAACAGCCATCCACCAAACAGCCCATTTAATATGCTCAGTAACTCCTCCAAGCTGAGTGTTGGAGGGAAAACAAGCAGGAAACTGGAAAGGGAAATGAAGTGGAACATCCTAGAAGGAGACTATATTTTCAGTGTGTCTGTTGGCCAAAATAGATGCTGTGTGGCAGAGGAAATTTGGGGCCCAGGACACAACTGAGGTACTACAGAATTGGCATCAGGAAGCATGCATTCTGCTTTAGAGAAGCGGTGAGTGGGAAGTGATGATATTATCTTTCTTGAACTTGTCCATATTCCCATTATATATGGACCCCATTCTGCTTTCCCCGATAGACAAACACACACAGATAATGTAGGTTGGGGAAAAAGCCTGCGAAGGAAGACAATTTGCAAGAGAGTCACAACAAGTAGAGGAAAGGTTGAATGCTCTCTGGTATAGGGGTACCCTTCTTTCCTCCACTGCTTTCCAACTTTTATCACCACTGAATGTCTGACCCTGTCTGTCTTTCTCTGTACAGATGGTATTTGTCACAACCAGTTGAGTAAAGGCATTCTGAGCTTTCTTTAGAGAAAGTGCCATTTTTATACTGATCTGTGATTTCTCTTTCTGGACTAGGAGGAAGATTCTCTCCAAATTGAAGAAAAGATTAAGTGGGGAGATGGATTTGCTGTAGTTTATTCTGTCACTGACAGGTGTAGCTTTGATGAGGTGATGAGGTTGTGCTTTCTCATCAACCACATCCATTCTAGCCCAAAGCGGAACAGTGGCAGTGGAGAACCTCCAGTTGTGATTGTTGGAAACAAGAAGGACCTGCAGTTTGACCGAATGGTGTCCTCTGAGGATGGAGAAAATCTCTCCAAGGCTCTGAAGCATCCTTTCTATGAGATCTCTACCAGGGACAACTATGAAGAGACTGTTGTGGTCTTCAACACCTTATATAGTGAGCTGATGAAGCAAGGGCATTTTTCCCCAGGGTCCTTCAAGAGGCGAGCATCATCTAAACTAATGGAAAAGATTCCCAAAATTCATGCCAATTCAAGTCTAACCTCGGCAGGCAGGAGTCTCAGCTTCAATTCATTCAGGGACTACATCCCAGAGTGAACATTGGTCTAAACCATTGTACAGTGATGTTCAAAGCACACAGAGCCAGCTGGAGATAACAAAGGAGAGGCTGCAGAATTGGTAGCACAAAGGGCAGGAGGCCTGCACATTGTTAGGAAAGCTTTTTAAAAAAATACACTAAAATTGGAACATCTGAGTTGGATCCTTAGCTGATAGCACAAGGCTATGTGATGCAGTGAAATAGTCTACTGGATCAGACCAAAGGACAACCTGTTCCTGAATTTTGCTTTCCAAACCGTGCTTTTGAAAACCTAACCAGAAGGCAATGTTTCTCTTTTTTTCATTATTGTCCCCTAACAATTAATATTCAGTAACCCACCAACTCTGGCCTTAGGGGTTCCATTTAGCCAATGTGTCTAATATACTTAACTTGGCCCATTCTCTCCCATTTTAAACCAATCTAAGCCAGTAGCCATCTTAATGGCAAAGGATTCTAAAAGTAAGTTTGTTGTATCATGTTCCCCTTTAAAGAGTAGTCTTTTAAATTTGGATTTAAGAGCACTATAGAACTCCATTGGGTTGGGGGCCTTTTTATTTTCGCTTCAACAACAAGAAAGGCAGTAAAACTAAATGTCTTTGCAAATGGAAACTTAAGTTCAACAATAGCTGAGCTTCGTTAAGTGTTGATATCTCTTTTATGTGGTCTACAACAGTGGCTTAAAATGACTTAAAATGTTCTGTTATCTCTCTGGTTCTTGCTACCAGTTTGTCTTTTCCAACAAGCATAACATGCTATGCATCTTTTACAGACTGATTAAGCGCATTGGTGCCATTAGTTTTTAATGGATGCAGTAAAAAAAAAACCACCCTTAATTTATTCAGATGTATTTAGCCCACTGAAAATGTTTGCTTGATCTATAGGCTTGGGTAAAAGGGAGCCTTATTTGCATAAGAAGGTACGGTGACATCAGACTTCCTGGCCAGAGGGAAGAGATGAATTCAAGGAATTGGGCAAGCTTAGAGGATCCTACAGCTTAGTGTTTAGATGCCCATTAAGTCTACTGTCAGGCAATTCCAGGTACTCTTTCCCAAAGTAATTTGAATTCAGATAACTTCAGGTAGTGTGGATGCTATGACCCAAGAATATGTTCACCTGCCTCCCCACTTTTCAGATTTTGCTTGAAAGTGTGGATATATGAAGCTGTCTCACAATGAGGGTCCTTCTAGCCCAGGACTTTCTGCTTGGACAGATAAGAACTCTTTAACATCTCAGCTTCACTGTTTCTTCAGATGCTTTAGCAAACATGCTAGTTTGTTGTCTTTATTTAAAGAAAAAATAACTGGAGAAATGCTCAAAGCATATATGGCTTGCCAGAGATCTATTGTCCCTCCTCAAGCTATTTTTTCCCTTTGGAAGCTTCATCTACCATGCTAATATGCTGCTCAGACTCCCAGGCACTTGCTGTTCTGGAAGGAGAGATGACAGATTAGTCGGTTCAGCTTGTTCCCTAAGGCTTCCACATGGCTTCTCCGCATTGGAAAACAGCCGCCCGCTCACTGCCCACTTCTTTCCAGTGGTTTGTATGGCTTCTGTATAATGCAACACACACAAAAAAGTCTTGTGTCCTAAACATGCAGATATTTTACGTACACCTTGAGGGATGCTCTGTATTTCTAGAAATAATAAATGTGTCTGTACTAATTTCTCTGGCTCTTGCTCACTATCCAAGATTTGTGTCTGGCTTATTTTCATAGGAATCTGTAATAAAAAGACTTGCTGCCTCAAAAAGTTTCAGATGATAGCCTGAAATCCAGCTGGCTCTCAAGTCAGAGACAGAGTGTTGGATACGCTTTTGCTTTGACACCGTGTAGCTTTACAGTTATATTTTGCATTGGAGAATTATTACACTTTATCTTTTACTGTTAACTAAAAACTCTACATATGCAGGAATATGCGTATCTGTTTTTACACACTCACTTTGGGAATGTTACATAAATCATGAAAAGAGAGTAAAAATGTGATAAATTAGTAAATGATAAATTAAGTAAAACAGTAGCCTTATCAAAATAGTATAGTTAGAGGCCAGAATTCTGTGCTGCTGTGTCTGTGGGTATTCCAGCACCCAGATTCTTAAAAACATCTAGTTAATATGTGTGACTTCTTATTGTGCTGGAAATTTCACTGTCTCCATTCTGCGTTATTTCATGGACTGCTGTCCACAACAGCACAGAGGTGATGTGTAACACCATCACAACAAGCATTTTGTTCTATGGCACATTTCCGAGATTCTTGAATGTTTCCCATAAAAACCATTTCCAGCCTATGAGAGAAAGAATCTTCCAGTTCCGGATGTTTTCAGTTTCAGTCATGTCATTCATGCTATCCCTTTTGTGCTCCAGTGGGAATAAGAAAATCTCATACACTATCAAACTCATCCTGCTGATGGAATAAATAAGGAAGAGAACGGATGCTTTTATTATCATGTCTAGCAGCTGGCAGTTAGTAGATTGATCTATAAGGAATTGTTTGGATGGATGTGCTCAAGGTCCCTTTGATAAGTAGTGTCATCTGATGGGGCCTCAGAAGTGGGCCTTCTCTGTTGCAGTGCCTGTCCTCTTGGGCACCATCATCTCAGGGATGCATATGGCTCCTGCCCTGATATTTCAGGAGCCTGCCAGGCCTTGGGGTAGGGTGGGTGTTGAGCCCTATTGGTTGTTCTTCATTATATTGGTTTTTTTCCCTTTGACATGCATTGTTCTTTTTCTGTATTTTATGTTTTTGAAATTTTTTTCAGTGTGCTAGGCTTGGGAATATCCAGAAATAATTACACGTGTATCTCAATTGTTAGTCTGTGTTCCTATAAATATTTGTATCAGTTTGTGGGAAAAGATCTATATACTTATGTAACTTCATGCAACCTTGTTACAGCAATACCAAATGTAGCTTGCTTCTACTTTTTAGTATTTTATTTATTTTATTATTAAATTTGTATGCTACCTGGCTCCCTATGACTCTGGGTTGCTCACAAGTAAAAACATTTTTAAAAGATACAATAAGAAACAAAAATAAGGAATAAAAGACAGTAAGATGACAAAAACTGGACTGGAATGGAAAAAAAGAAACAGACCCACACAGTCCAAGGGGGCTTCACTCACCCTCGCTAAAGGCCTGCGTAAATAGCCAGGTCTTTCAAGTGCCTTCGAAATACCAGTAGGGTGGGGGGCCAACCAGATCTTGAGGGGAACCTCATTCCAAGGGCAGGCACTGCTACAGAGAATATGTGCTTCCGGGATCCCAGTAGATGGCATTGTTTAATTGAAGGAACCCAGAGCACACTAACTCTGTCAGATTGAATTGGCTGGGCTGACTATGGGAACAGGAAGTCCTCAAGTAACCAGGCCCTGTGGGCTCGATAGGTAAAAACCAGCACCTTGAATCACACCTAGAAGCAAATTGGCAACCAGTGCAGCTCGCGAAGCAGAGGTGTTACATGGGCATACTAAGGCATGTCTGTCACTGTCCAGACCGCTGCATTCTGCAACAGTTGAAGTACCATTTGTGGATTCTCTTGAACGGTCATCAGCTGAATACTGTGATAGTTAATATACATTAAATGGATTAGAAACGACCCTTCCAATCAGGGTTCAGGCCTGGGCATGGAATGGAGACAGTATTGGTTGCTATGGTGGATGACCTGGGTCAGGATCTTGATGGGGATAGTGCACTCCTCTTAGTTGTTTTGGGCCTCTCAGGAGCTTTTGATACCATCAACCATGGTATCCTGGACTGCTTGCAAGAGTTGAAAATTGGTGTCACTGTCTTACAATGATTCTGTTCCTACCTTGGTGGGCAGTTCCAGACATTACTAGTAAGGGACAAATGGTCAGCTTGGTGGTCACTTCCTCAAGGGATACAAAATCCCTGCCCATTTGTTAAATAGTGCAAGTTACTATTATTACACCCACCTTGCAGGCATTGGTTACCCTTTGGCTTCTGGCTCCACATCAAAATACTCGGTATTGATAAAGCCCTTTATGGCTTGGCACCAAAGTACCTGCAGGACCATCTACTCCAACCAATGTTGACCCATCTGAGGAGGCCCTCCTGGGCTGATGCTGGTAGTTCCCCAGTTTGTGGTGTGAAGCTGGAAAATGTTGCTTTTCAACTATGGTACTTACTGTTTGGAACACTCCTCCCCTAGAAGTTAGGTTGGCCACTTCAGTAGTGATGTTCTGGAAGCTGAACTCTTCCAGAGGGTGTTTGGGACATGATATTTCACTATCATTTGTTCTTATGTTTTTTTTATTGTTACTGTTGGTTTTGATTTTTTGAATTGTTTTGGGCTCTGGGGTTATGATGACCATGGAGTGAATTTTTAACTGTTTGTTTGTTTTTTAAAATTTTCTTATCATGGAGATCATGCGTGTGTGTGTGTGTGTGTGTGTATTTTCTACAGTGATTGTTTTGTTGTGTTTGATTTTGTTATAAGCCACTAGGGATGATGATGATGATGATGATGATGATGATGATGATGATTTGATAGAGTAATGATTTGTATAGGATATTAAAAAAAACCAAATCTTATCTTTTTACAGTTATTGGCACACTCATTCAGATTTATAACTTTTTGTAACCACAACATCCCACTTCATCACAGTTGCTTAAACCCAAGAGCTATTGCTGTTTTCATAACTAAATCTGGATTTTAAACAATCTCCTGACAATGATTTATATACAGAAACATGATGTCACTCACTAGTTAGTTAGTACACAGTTCTACAAGTGCTATTTTCAACAGAAAAGTATCAGAGAAGACTCCTGAATTTATTTCTGGCTGTGCAATGCATCCTAAGGAGGTAAATTTTGAGCATTGTATGAAATTGCTATTGCTGTTACAGTGTGAATCTCCTGCGCGAGATTAAGCAGGGCCCTGTTGATAAAGGAAATCTGATTCCTTTTAAAGCAATGACTCCAGATATAAGATTCCTGGTTTATTAAGCAGTTCTCTACCATTAATGGAGGCATTGTCATGAACTGCTACCTGGTCTACCAAAAGAAGCTGAAGATGCTCCAAGGGCAGAATCCAGGTTCTGCCTCCCTCCCAAGCAAGGTGTCGGAGGGAAGCTCTCCACCCATTTCATAGATTCTCTGCCTTGCCCTTGCCACTGGCAGCTCATTTGCCCAAAGAGCTGCCAGTGGGCAAAGAAGAGAACAGGTGAAGTTGAGAAGGAAAAGCAATAGCCACTGCCTTCCCTGAAACAGGGTAGTTAGGCTGCTGCTATTATTGCTGTTGGTTGCCCAACGGGGTTCATGCCTCTGCCAGCAGGCCTGACCTCCAAAAAGGAAACCTTAATCTTTATGGCAATGACATCATTTGGTTTTGGCTTACGATGAGCCCACTTCTTGTGGTTTATAATTCTGCAAATGAGGCAGAGATTTTGTACAATAAAAAACAAACCCTCCTTTGGAAGTATGCTGAATGGGTGCCAGGAGCTGGAAACTGGGTCTGTAGACAGCAGCCAGAGCTGGGAAGCAGCCACATGCAGGATCCTGGCCAGAGACTTGTAGCATCATCTACAGTCATCCATCCACCCTTGTGCCAAAACAGCAGTAAGGAAAACAGGCTTTACATCGCCTCCATGATGGCTGGCCAATGTTCAAAGATGCTGTTAGTGGGCATCCTGCTGTAGTTGGTAGTGCTGTTGCCAAAGCAAACTTCGAAGCTTTGGAAGCCTTTTAGAGTTCTTCCAGAATCATTCCAGAAACTGCCCAAAGAGTGCTCCATTTCTTTTACTGCTGGTGGGAATTTAGCAAAGTAGGCCTGCTTGGCTGTGCTAAACCTTGATGAACATTTGCCATATGTTGACATGAATTCTCTTCAAAGGAAAAGAGCGTACGTGTAAAATTTAGGAGCAATTGCTTTTTCCATCTCCTATTAGTCTTGTCAAGTTTTAAGTCCTTTGTCAAGGGAAAGTAATTGCAGCCTGACTGCTGGGGACTCCAGATCAGGACCTGCCTCCCTGAAGCAGGTCAACATACATGCAGCCAAAATCCAGTGTAATGCAGATGAGAATGTTTACCCAGACGTATATGAGCCTCAGTTATGCAGCTGGACAGTTGCTTCTATGCGCAGATTTCCTTTGGAATGTAATGCGGGAACGTAAAAAAGTTGACCTGAACACCCATGCAATTTTCTTGGCATGATATAGAAGTTTGCCATTGCCTTCTTCCAGGCCCTCTTTTCAACTCCTCAGTCTAGCCTCCAACAGTACACATGCTCTCTCACACACACACGCACACACAGAGTACCTTTTACTTTATAAGAACAAAGTATAGGTTTTCATTATTAAAGAAATCCATAAAGCTGCTCAGAGTCTTGGGAGAGAAGCCAGCCATAAATTTATTTTTCACTATAGCTGTTTTCCTACCTAAATTGGAGATCATGTCTTCTGGATATGCTGCAAGGATTTTTGCCCAAATAAGTATGGATCATGAATCAGGAATAACCAGTGTTTTAGATTTGTGATACCTGATGGGCAATGAGCATTTAGTTAGAGGAATACTCATGTATCAGCTGCTTGGAAGAGAAATCACTCACTGGTTTACTTTTAAAAAAAATTCTAAAAAAATATTGAGAGCTGCATAAATCCAACATACTGATCAAGTGATCTAGGAGGACTCCACACCTACTTTGCTTATAGAATCGTGCTGGCAGCACTTAGTCGACTTTGGCTGA